TCTCTCTCTCTCTCTCTCTCTCTCTCTCTCTCTCTCTCTCTCTGTGTGTGTGTGTGTGGGTGGGTGGGTGGGTGGGTGTATTTCCTATGTGTATGTCTGTGTACCTATGTGTATAACTGGTACTCATGGAGGTAAGAAGAGGGCATCAGATCCCTTGGAACTGGAGTTATAGATGGCTGTGAGCCATCATGTAGGGGCTGGGAACAAACCCGGGTCCTCTGGAAGATCAGCCAGTGTTCTTAACCTCTGAACCATCTCTGCAGCTCCAATTTTCCGTTTGGAGCTTTTCTTTCTTTCTCTTTCTTCTCTCTCTCCTTCTTTCCTTCCTTCCTTCCTTCCTTCCTTCCTTCCTTCCTTCCTTCCTTCCTTTCTTTCCAACAGCTATCATGATTCCTAGACTTGGTATCGAATTCACTACACAACCAAGGATGACCTTGAGTTCCCAATTCCCTGTCTCCACCTCCAGAGGGATGGAATCGAACATCAGGGCAGCCTGTACAACTAACTCATCCCCGGTCATGCAGTTTACCACCGCAGAGGGTACAGGCAGGCTAGCTACATGTCACTCTGTAGCAGTGATTCTTCATGCTGGAAAGACCCTATCAGTGAGTGTCCTTCTCAGTTTCTAATTGGAAGAAAGAACTGCAGCTTACCATCTGGGCTGGCAGGCCATACAAGGAGCCAATGGGACTCCCCAAGTCCAGGGTCCAAGAGAGCACTGAGGTCTATTATCTTGGAGGAATGTCTTGATGCACAGGGCATGGAACACGGGCAGCTACCATTGCATTGCCATTCTGATGTTCGGTTTTACTTGCAGACCCTCTGGGGTTTTACCTTATTTTAAAACAAAACAAAACAACAACAACAAAAAAAAAAAAACCTTTCTAAGGACCCAAATCAAGAGAATCTTTCCAGAGGGGAATAAACTGAGCTCACCCCTTAGGTCAGTTTTGCTATCCCGGAGGGACAAGGCCTCGGCCCCCTCCCCTCTCCGAGGAGTCTGCAGGGAGGTGGTGCCTCAGGCGGCTTCGGGTGCAGCCGATCCACACAGTGTGGGCTCAGCCCTGCTTTTAATAGCACCACTCATTTCCAGGAGGAGGAAATGGGAGCACTTAGGCTGTGCGGAGAGAATTCCATTAATGTTCGCTCTGACCTTACTAACTCCAGTGTCATTAGCGATGTATACATTTTCAAAATCCCCTTAATGCCCAAAAGCAGTAATAGGTATCTGTTATGCTGGTTAATGAGCTGTAAAATGAACCAGCCCTGATTTGTCCCCCCCCCCGCCCCCACCCGCTGTCAGCCCCCTGGTTAAGTAATGGCCAGGATGGGAGGAAGGCCGAGCTTCTCCCCAGACTCCAGCTAAGACATCAGGCTTCTCTAATCACAGTTGATTAGAAGATAAAAATATTTACACACACCTCATTCTCCATTATCTCAGCTTTTTTTCCTAAGTAATTAGTTTCTCCTACCTCGTTCTGGGAGAATGTTCACACCATTGATCTCGGTTGTTGTAATTAAGAGTGGCCTGGGTCAGAGGTTGAACGGAGTACAGGCTTCTCACCCTCAGGGCACCCTCGGCTGCTTCTGCTAGGGCTCTAAACACTCTCCTGGGCTGGGCTCTGTTCTGGCCTCCATCTGCTCTCGCCTGCATCCTGCATAGCCACTCTACTTACCCAGGCCCCCGACCACTGCTGGCTGAATGTTAGCAAGACTAGCTTGTCAAATTCAAAAACAGGACACGATGTGGAGCATCTGTCTACTACTCAGGAAGCAGCAGTGTGAGGATCAGAAGTTCAAGGCCATCCTCAGCCACACAGCGAGTTCTGTAAGAAACCCTCCCTCCCATGCAATCTTATTTTGAGACCCCCCTACACACACCCACATCCGTTACACACGCACATTCTGTTGCTCGATCTTGAACTGCTGTGGACATGAGTTCCAAAATTTATGGTCAGCACTATTTCTTCAGGATCTAGGTCATTTGGGGAGACTACCTTTGTGAAGCATTGCATCATGTTCTAATAATTTCCATAAGTCATCCTTTACCTTCATACCTCAAACACTGAAAACATAACTCTCCCCCACAGGAATATATCCAGCAACATCTTTAGGGATGTAAGTTTTGTGTGTGTGTGTGTGTGTGTGTGTGTGTGTGTGTGTGTGTGTGTGTAGAGGCCAGAAATCAAACTTGTGCTTTGTTCTTCAGACTTTTCAGGATTGTTCCCCTTGGTTTTTGAGGTAACATTTCTCATCTGTGTGGGGCTCCCCAGATCAGCTAAGCTATCTCCATGTCACCCCCACCCCAACTCCTTGCAGAGGGATTCAGAGCCTGCACCACCAGGGTCAGCTTTTTGAGTAGGCTGTGAGGATTGAATTCAGGCTCTCAAAGAAAGCACTTCACCATCTGAGCCAGCTCCCAACCCAGGGCTGGGAGCTTCTCTGCCATTATGTCTCTGTGTGTTTCTCCGTCAGACAGCCTCTTCCCCGTGTGGGTGACAATAAACAGCTTCTGGCCACACTAGCAGTTTCCATGCCTCGGGCACCCTGCATAGGGTGGCACTTTGTGGCTTTCCTCCCAAGCCCAGGGTGTGATGGAGCCAGGGGAAAGAGGAGCACAGGGATGGATTCTGGACAGGATGCCTGAGCTATTCCTTCATCTTGTGGTCTCCTTATTGCCATCTGTCCCCTCACCCCCCCCCCAGATGACTCTGTCTTTATTTCTACCACCTTAGACTGCTTGTTCCTGATGTAGCCTTTTTTTTTTTTTTTTTTTTTTTTTTTTTTTTTTTTTTTTTTTTTTTTTTTAAGATTAGGAATGTCAAATATTGGTTTTAAAATAGTATTTCTTTTTGTATAATCAGTAAGTCAGTCAGATATTTCTAAGATGACCATTCCTATTTATTTTTGGTGATTTGTATGCTCATTAGGAAAACAGAATTTTTTTCAACAGTAAGTCGATATTTAAATTAAATCGTTATTACTTAAATTAAATCATTATATAGCATCAATAAATGACTCCCAATGGTATACTGTTATAGATCAGTACCTTTTCCAGTCATCATCAGAGAGGCTTCCTCTGGCAGCAGATGGGAACAGATGCGGAGATCCACAGCCAGACATTGTGTGGACATTACGTGGAGAGAGAGTCAAAATTCTAGGTCTCCATCACAACTCTTCTCTCAGAGCTCAGGATCCTGCAGAAGAGGAAACAGAAAAATTGTAAGAGTCAGAGAGTTAGGGGACACCAGGAGAACAAGGCCCACTGAACCAACTAAGAAATTGCCTTGCTTTATTATTTATTTATTTATTTATTTATTTATTTATTTATTTATTTATTTTGTGGGGAGTGCGGGGGTTGATTTTTCCAGCCAGGGTTTCTCTGTAGCTCTGGAGCCTATCCTGGAACTCACTCTGTATGTAGACCAGGCTGGCCTCAAATGCACAGACATCCACCTGCTTCTGCCTCCCTAGTACTGAGATTAAAGGCTTGTGTTACCACTGCCCAGCTAACTCTCAGCACCCAGGTTTGCCCATTAGGCAGCAAGCCCAACAAGCCACTTGCTTCCACTCCCCACAGTTGCTGGACTGCAAGCCTGTGCCATCACACTTCACTTTTTAGCATGGGTTCTGGAGTTTGACCTCAAATCCTCGGCACTTGGCCGACTGAGTCACATACATCGCCACCCTACCTAACCAAGATCTCTTTTGTTTAATTTTATTTTTGTTTTTGCTTTTTTGAGACAAGATTTCTCTGTAGCTTTGGAGCCTGTCCTGGAACTAGCTCTGTAGACCAGCTGGCTTTGAACTTCCGAGAAAACTGCAGGGTCACACCCAGAGGAGGAGAATGGGTCTACTCAAAGGTCGCACATAGTCAGGCCTTACATACTGTTTGCTGCTGTCTTATCATTTTTATTTGCAAACTGCTCTCACTGAAAGGAATCCTGTCTCTGTGTAGGCAACCTGCACAGCACATGGTGACTGTGCCCTGGGCTTGTGACTCCTAGCTGTTGAGAAACTTCTACTAGCCTCTTCCCTCTTCCTAGCCCTGCCCTATGAATTTTAGTTCCTCTGCCTTTTTTTTTCTCTTCAGCCTCACTGTCATTACAGAGCAGGGGAGCCCCGCTCAAACCCAACAGACACTTCCATTTGCTAAAGGGTAGCAGGTTCTGACCTCCCCACACCCACCAACTTGACCAACACCGGGTCAGCACAGAACTGTCAAGCCAAGCCATCCGAAATGAGGGAAACCAGGCTAAACCAAATACCAGGTGGGAAAACATCAAAGTGGCAACCCCTGAACAGCCAGTGAAGTCAGTCTTCCACCTTGGCTGGCACAGAAGCTCATGCCTACTTCTGGCTTTTCCTAAGCCTGGGGAGACCCTCAGTTTCCATCCCCAGTCACTCCTCCACGGTTCTGTTATCCCCCCCCCCCCCGGTGTTTGTCTCACCATACCGGAAATGCTACCATGGGTTCTTTTTATCATTCCTTGGGCTGCCTCCCTCAAAGACGTGCATCTCGATTCTAGAAGGTGGTGGCAATCTGTGCTGCTCTTCCCACCCAACAGAGCCGACAGGGGAGCATGTGCCTCAGCAACCACCTGGATGGTGTATGTGTTCACCCCCTTTTCACAAAGGTTCGGTGGGATCCAGCAGGGGTAAGGATCATGGCTCAGTTGACACTAGCCCATGGTCAGTGCTCACTGCATGAGTGAAATCTTGTTGGTACCACAGGTGCAGGAGTTGGTGTGGGGCCTGGCCCTCGTCCCTCTTCTTGTAACTAAGCTTCGTTGTCTGTATTTGTCATCTACCAAACCCACAGAAAGATTAAAAGATGACTTTGCCCAGACAGTCCCTAAGACGTGGGCTCTACTGATTAAAGCATATTCACCTGCAACCTGGTGTTCGATGGGGGCAGACTACTCAGCAAATCCAATAAAAAAAAAAAACCAGAACATAGCTCAAAGGGAACACACTTCAAAGAGAATACGGATTTAACTTGGAGCCAAATATGAGTGACTATGACCCAGAAATATGGGCCCAAGTTGCCCTAAATATCATGTTCCACCATGGAAACCGTTTCGTGAAATTTTTATAAGCATAGAACAGAAAGTCATAAATCAAAGCTCTTTCAAATATATTGGTAGGAACATCAGACAGGCAGATCACAACAAAGCAGGGAAGGCTCTGCTGTAGGTCTCTGATGCTATCTGATGGCCTCCTAGCTTTAGGGTTTTGGAAGCTAGTTAAGAAGATATATATATATATCCTGAATCGCTTCGCCAACATCCACAGAAATACTGATCAGACACAGAAGCAGGCAATGAGCAGCTTCCAGAACCCTAAAACTGTGGAGCATTAGAGTGTTGCAGATCCAGACCTAGCTATGGTTGGGGTGTGTGGAGCGGTGTCTTTTTAGTCCCTTAAACTCACTCAGTTGCCACCTCTGACTTAACATTCCGTGACTATCCAAACTCTTTAGAGCTGGGCATGGTGGCACATGCCATTAATCTCAGCACTCAGGAGGCAAAGACAGACAGATCTCTGTGAGTTTGAGGGCAGCCTGGTCTACAGAGCGAATTCCAGGATAGCTAGGGCTACACAGAGAAACTCTGTCTCAAAAAAAATAAATAAATAAACAACACCAAAACAAAGACAACAACAATAAACCACTTTTACAACCTTAGCAGACCACTAGCTTCTACCAATCCAGAAGTCAAGAATGTCATCAGAAAGCAGAAACCTACAGCAGAGATTTCCTACCTTGCTGTGACCTGCCCACCCGTGGTGTCTCCCAGTGTGCGTGATAAATACCTTGCTTTATGACTTTGTTCTGTATCTAGTAGAATTTACACAAATACTGGCGCAGCTGAATGAGTGTCTCCTATCGACCCGAACCTGTGTTCCTTGGGCCACAGTCTTATACTAGGCTGGAAGATAAGCTATCTATTATTTTCTTTGAGATGAGAGCTGGGTTTCACATCAACATTCCCGGTAATAATCTCACCACAACTCTAAAAGGGACACAGAGGCCTCAAGATAGCTGTAAGGTACAAGCGGAAGCTCTGAGCGGAAGCACCCTCATCCCTGGGTGTTTAACTGTAAAAGTCATCGCACACACAGGAAGACGGGGTTCTACACTGCATGCTCAAATAACTCCAAGGGAGGGCTGTAGAGCCACCACGGGGTTCCTTCCAGCCTGTAGAATCACTCACCCCAGGGAGGAATCTAATCCAGAGGGAAAGACAACACACTGACTGGACCCTGGGCTGCCACCCAGGAAATTAAAAGGCATTTAATCCAACACCTATTGAGACAGATAAAACCACCTGACGCTCCCCAAGGGTATTTGTCTAAGAGCGGCATTAAATACTGTTAAAGCACTGTTAATTTACACTAGGCTTTTGCCAGTAGTTACCCTTTTAATGTTTATTTTACCTTTAAATAAGACTGACTCCCCCCCCCCCCATGACTTAACTCCCTAATAAAGAGGTGTCAGCCCTTCTTTAGTGCTCCATTTGCCTGCAGCTGGCAGGACTGTCCCCAGACCAGATTGACAGCTGTGAACACTTCACAGTCACCGCCAGAGGCCTTTGATTGGTGTCAAGACATTCTCGCTTTGGCCCCAAAGATGTGCAGGGATTGGTGGCAACACGCTGGCCACACCCCCTCCCCCTACTACTCTGTCTCTTCGGGACCTTCTAGAACCATCCACCTGGGCTGCAGTGTTAAGCCTGACAATGTTGTCTCTCCAGTGACCTTCCCTTGCCTAGATTTTTTTTGTTGTTTATTTTTGAGACAAAAGCTCATATAGCTCATGAGGGGCTTGAATTCTTGCGCCCCTTGCCTCCACCGCCCAAATGCTGACTCCGGCTCTCTTGATTACATGTGATCTTTATCATCATGAGTGCAGTGGGCTGAGCTGCTCACTTTTTTTTTTTTTTTTTTTTTTTTTTTTTTTTGGTTTTTCGAGACAGGGTTTCTCTGTGGTTTTGGAGCCTGTCCTGGAACTAGCTCTTGTAGACCAGGCTGGTCTNTCGAGACAGGGTTTCTCTGTGGTTTTGGAGCCTGTCCTGGAACTAGCTCTTGTAGACCAGGCTGGTCTCGAACTCACAGAGATCCGCCTGCCTCTGCCTCCCGAGTGCTGGGATTAAAGGCGTGCGCCACCACCGCCCGGCTGAGCTGCTCACGTTAAGAAGCAAGAAGCGGGCAGCAGAACAAGAAGAGCTGAAGTCCTGAGGGCCTGGTCAGAACTGTAGCTGTAGCGGTAGCGGACACTGCCAGAGCTCAGCGTAGCAAATCTCAGGTAATTGCTGCCAAGGCTGCAGCAGCAAGTGGTTAAAGCCCAGGGCAGCGAACCTGCCACCTTTCTGGAGGTCGGAGCAATAGGCAACAGAACTTGTGGTCCACAGCCCTGCAGAAGGATGACCCGGTGAGCAGACAACACAAAGGCACCGGGAAGCCGCCCCTAGCCAGGCTGGCAGATCCGCCCCCCTCCCTGCCCCTTGTGCGCCTGCGCAACGCCACCACCACTCTGGGCCTGGCGCACGTGGGCGAGTGCCACCACCAACAGCCAGCAAATAGAAAAATAAATAAAACACCCTTCAGCTCGCTGAACCCCTGTTTGAGCCAGCCTCCCTCCCAGGGGCCTTGGCTTCCAGATTCTCCGGATGTCCCCACGTGGGTCGTGTGCTGTGCTCTGCGCCTGCGCGAGAGCCCCAGGGCGCCTTTGATCCGCTGGTGAGTTGTACCTGTTCCCAGCCAGCTTTTCCCTCCCCAGCATCGCGGGAGCGCAAAGGCCTCTGCCCAGGTGTTCCTGGTCCGGGATGCGAGTGGGGCCACGGCCCAGTCCCACTTGAAGGGCTCGTGGCTTGTTGTTCCGAGCATACGGTTTTGCTCCCTTAAGAAGGAAGTCTGGTTCCTCCTGGAGTCTGGTTCCTCCTGGAGTCTGGTGTTCCTCAGACTGAATGGACCGAAGGACGGGCACAGCGCTGTGACCTACTTGTTTGTGGGGAGTCTGCGTAACCAAAGTGTTTCTAATGTCTGGAAGGATAGGTCTGCCCCGCAGTGGTCAGAAGTTTGTTGATCAGGGTATCCTTAGTGTCTGAGGGTGACCCTGATGACCTGCTGTGCCCAGGAAGGGGCTGAAGCCCTGAACAATTGTCAGTTTTCATTAGAACTGGTCAAGAAGGGTTCCTGCAAAAACTCTGGGCTGAGCAGGCTAAGATCAGAGGAACTAGAGAACTCCCTGCCCACATGGACACATGGCTGAAAGAGAGTGTCCCTCCTGCCCTGGGCAGGACAAAAGCCCAAGCGGGCTGTTAGAACCCATTTTCCCCGGCCCACTCTGACCCAACTTCCTCCCGTTTACAGAACGAGTAGGGTTACAATTGGCCCACAATGGCTGTTGGGAAGGGCAACATAATTTTTTTTTTCAATTTTATTATCTGCTTTACCTTGCTCTCAAAGTGGAATAGATGGCCAATGAGTAAAGGCACTTATTGGCCCCCCCAAGCCTGGAAACCTGACTTCAGTCCACAGAGCTCCCAAAATTAAGCCAAAGGAGAGAACCTGGCTCCTGAGAGTTGTCCTCTGACCTCCACTCCCAGGCCATGGCCAGTGCACATGAATATACAATAATCACAGACGCACACGTTAATAATATTTTTAATGGAATAGATGGTGCGTCTATGGCCATAGGCTCTGATTCAGCAAGGTGACCATATACTAAATTTGATTGGCTGATTAGTGGTGCTCTGGGCTTCCTAACAGTGTTGCAATACAGTTTCCACTGTGTTGCAGAGAGGGTGAAGCCAAGTTTGTGTGCCTCTGACATCCTTACTGGCTGCTGGCTATCTATAACCCAGTAGGTCTGAGTCACTCACTGGTCCTGTGTAGGAGGCCTCTGGTCACAAGTGCAGCTTCCTCAGTTTTTGCCCCAGGAACCCCTCATGGGATTCTAGGGAGCTGGCAAGTGCTCATAGGTCAGAGAGAGTAAAGATGAGGCACCCTTAGTGTGGCCTTCCTCATAGCCAGCGTGAGCCACGTTCACCCTGCGTCTAGGGGCCCCCACCCCAAACTCCTTCAGACCTGCTCTTGCTAAATCATGCAAAGTTTTCCTCCCTAGCTGGAAGACCTGCTCGGAGGTGAAATTATTTTTAATCCCTCTACTTGGTTTGTTACTTTGCTTTTTATCTTATTTGTCCAGTTATGTATTGAGATAGGGGTGTCGTGATTACTTTCCTGCAGTAACCACAACCAATGCGACATATAAACGAAAGCATTCTATTGGGGCCTTGCTTACAGTTGCAGAGGATTAGAGCCCATGACCATCGTGGTGGGCAGCATAGCAGCGGGCGGGTGTGACGTTGCAGCAGCAGCTGAGAGCTCACATCTGATCCACGAGCGCGAGGCAGAGAGAGAACTAAGTGAGGATGATGCAGGGTTTTTGAAACCTCCCAGGCCCATCCCAGTGCCACGCCTCCTCCACAAAGGTCACACTTCTCAACCTTTCCCAAACAGTCCCAAAAAGTGGGGACCGAATACTAAAATCTATGAGCCTGTGGAGCCCAACTCTCATTTAAGCCGACACACAAGGTCGCACTATGTCTCACTGGCTGCCTGGAACTCACTAGGTAGACCAGGCTAGCCTGGAGCTCACAAAGATGGAGTGGCCGGCCTCTTGCCTCCCAAGTGTTGAGACCTGAGGTGTATGCTACCTTGCCTTAACTGTTTCTTTGTTTGCTTCCAATCTATTCTTGATTGGTTTGTGGGAGTACCCTCTAAGACACATACTGATGCAGGTCCCAGAGTCCTTGTACTGTGATCCACTATGACCCAGAAGGGTAGAACGTGGCATCTTTTGGGGGGAATTTCGCTGGGAAACATTTTCTATGTTATCTATCGTCTTTGGTTTATTCTTTGACCCACTATTTCCAGCACTGGCTGAAAGCATTGGGATAACTGTATTTTAATAGAGAAAGACTGTTCTGCATTCACCATGGGAGGTAAATGAGAAGGGTAGAGAAACACAGCTACCAAGACAAAACAGGGCCATCATCACAAGACAGAAGTCACCAGATAGGGCAGACAGGGTCACCGTGACAAGACAGCCACCGGGGCAGATGGCCGCCGAGACAAGACAGCAATCACTAGAGCAGACAGCATCATGACAAGATGACAGCCATCAAGGCAGATGGGGCCCATCAGACAGAGCAGGGATTCCGGGGCCACAGTCACAGACAGAGGTGAGCAGACATCGCCACAAGCTAATACCAATGCTCCTCCGAGATGAGGACCCACTGTCCTCTGATGCTGGGTGGGGGCAGGGCTGCTTTCCTTGGTAATGTTGGCTCGGTGCCCTGAAGACTGCTTCTCCCATCCATTCTTGAATGTCTGGTGGTCCCTGCTCTCACAACACCCTTTCCCTCCCAAACCGTATCAAATGAGTACCTTTATTTTGCAAACTGAAGGCAATCTCAATGTTATGTCCAGTGGCTGTAACTAAATGCCCCTTGTTCAACACTGATAGGAAGGGTGTACTGCAGGCTTGCCATCTGCTGGGTCCAGTGTCTTACTAGCAACTGGTCCTGTAACCCTCCTGGCATGTATCAAGACCTTCTAATGCAGTGGTTCTCAACCTGTGGGTTTCGACCCCTTTGGAGGTCACATATCAGATATCCTGCACATCAGATATTTGCATAATAATTCATAACAGTGGCAAAATTGCAGTTATGAGGTAGCAATGAAATTAACTTTATGGTTGGGGGTCACCACAACATAAATAACTGTATTACAGGTTCGCAGCATTGGGAAGGTTGAGAACCACAGCTCTGAAGAGACCCTTGTACCTCTCTGTTGTGTGGCACTCTCCTCCAAGATTAAATCTTCCATCTTGGAGGGATGCTCACTAGGACACTGGATGCTCACAGGAAAAGTGGACCAGCAGTGTGTTCTAAGGGAAGATGAAGCATCCCCTCATCCAGGGAAGCTCCTGAAGACAGGAAGCAAACAACTCCAAATAGCTTCTGGAAATCCTTGAAACTGACCAGATTCACTAGGCTCCTCCCTCCCCAGGCTGTATGCAAGCTGTGAAGACTTTTGGGAGCCAGTCACTCCCAGGCATGACAAGCTGCAGCATAGACTCCCAGACAAGCTGATCTGCCTGGAAAAGGCTCGGAGCTACTGAGCCACTGGGAAAGAACACCCTCCAACCTGTGGAGCTGCCTGCAGATTGTGCAGTGTGATCCAAAGTATCCACCTTTATAAATTGTCTCTCACCTGTGCGGGGGTGGGTTTTGGTGATGCAACCATTTTTGAGTCGTAGCTATTCCTCTAAGTAGCCCTTCACCGGTATCTTGTAAATAACCCCAATAAAAACCTGTGATTCTTCCAACTGGCCTTTGGTGGCATCCTTACACTGGTCTGTTCTTAGTTCCCAAATGTGAGTAGACATTTGCGCCCGTCTCCCCAGGAATAGTGTCACTCAAAACTCTCTCTTTGGTTATCAAATCACTGAAACAATGGACCTCAAAAGTTGGAATTTCACAGGAACCTCATCCTAAGAGAAGGATGAAGGGACCAGAATTTGGCACAAGACACCCCAAGACCGAGTTCTCAGCACAAGGGGATTTATTTGCCCCAGAGGGGCAGAGGGCAGGGAATAAGAGACAAAGACAGGAGATTGAGTACAAGGGAGAAGGGGAAGGGATGTTTGTCCTGGAGTGACAATGGACTGCCTCTGGATAGAGGGACAAACATGGCCCATATGTAAATGGGAGTTTATAAAGGTAAAAGGGGAAACCCTGTCTTGAAATGAGGTGTTTAATTTTAATTGAGTGTGTTAATTAGGGCAGCTGAAAGGGGGTTTTTGACTGCTGGACTTCACTATTTTGATAGCTGGACCTTGGTAATCAGTCTCAGGAGGAAGAAGCGGCTAAATGAATGAATAGCCCTTGGTGGGCAGTTTTATGAATGCTATCTAATAGTTTTTAGCAAGGCAGAGGGAACAGGGGAGAAGGTAGGTTTTCTTTGACAGCTTTCTGCTGACATTGGGGCATGGTTGTTAGGAGATCCAAGAAATCTGGGTTGCTGGTCAAAGTCAGGAAGAGCAGGCTGTGCCAGTTGATGTCCAGGTTTTATGGGAATATCTGAGGCTAGGAAAGTGTGGTCTGTAAGGCCGGACCAATACGTAGATTCCAAGGAAACAGCTGGACTGGCACTGGAGTTGCTAGAGCAGTCTGTAGTTGATTTGAAATCTGTTGAGACAGATAGACTAGGGGCAGAGGTAAAGTTAAGGAGTTTAGAAAAAAA